TATGGGCCGGGAGGAGGAGCCCCGTACCTGTAGAGCTGCCGTCTCCTTGGCAGGTCCTCGGTGCTGAGGAAGTAGCTGCAGAGACCAGCAGGAGTACAGGAGTTAGCGGCTCCAGGTGTCCCCCCCTCACCCCGCGCAGACACTTCTCAGGGACCCCACTGTCACTACAGCCAGCACTGCTTCCGCTCCGTGCTGGCCCAGGCGGTCCTGCGCCTGCCCGCGGGGCTGTGTTGTAGGGGCGAGGACCGTGGCCGGTACCCCCGGGTTCGGATGTGGGGATTTTTTTACAGGATATTAACCACCTGGAGGGCAAGGGCCCAGACAGAAGCAGGGGTGGATAATTCTCATCAACTGAGTTTCACCGAGGACCCCGAACGAGGAAACCTGGGCTCTGGTTACATGATCAGGGTAACTAGCACGTGGGCCTGGGCGCCCCGACGGAGATGAGCCCCAGCTCCACCTGTTGCGGACTGAACGCCTGCGGTAAATCACTTCCCGGCTGCCTGTCGGAGCTCACGCATGTTTGAAATGGGGAGAGCGGTAAGCTCCCTCGCCAAACTTTGTGTCAAATGAGGGGCGGCTCCTAAAGCGCTTAGCCTGGCGGCGGGACTCCCAGAGGCTCAGTCAACACCAGGACTAGGACTATGCTCCTGTTCCCCGCGCTGGCTCACCTGAGGGCCTGGCTGCAAGGTCACCTTCACCCTGCTCTCTCCTGACCCCACTACAAGGCCAATGTCACCCTGCTCTCTCCCGACCCCACTACAAGTTCAATGTGACCCTGCTCTCTCCTGACCCCACTACAAGGCCAATGTCACCCCTGCTCTCTCCCGACCCCGGTGGGAGGTCAGCTTCTCCACTGCTCTCTCCTGACCCCGGGCCTGGGGCTGTCAGACAGAATCTATGCCTATTTCCATGGAAAAACTAGGACCTCCGGGGGTCCTGAGCAGGAAGACAGGGCTGCTGGGCCACAGTCTGCACCCAGTGACTCCGATGGTGCTGAAAAGCGGCGAATGTGCTCCAGCCCCAGAGGGAAGGGCCCCGTCCCAGCCGCAGGGTCCCAGGCGCACTCACATCTTGTTCCGCTTCTCGTCGTAGGACAGGATCTTGGTGACGTCCCAGTCCCCTGATGTGATGGACTGGATGTTGTCGTTGCTGCTGTTGGGCTGGGACACAGACAGGCCATGAGGAGCGGGAGCGCGGGGCCCCCTGAGCTGTGCCGCTGGATCCCGAGCCCCTTAGGTACCAGGTGTGTGTTTGTGGGAGGTGCCACCCGCCCCGCCAACCTGGTCTCTCCTGGGGGCCCCTGACCACCCAGCCCACAGCCCTCTCTCCGTCCTGAATGTTGGCACAGTCCTGTCTTTGGGGCTGATCCTCGGGTACCAGCACCCCAGGACTCCCACCTCGATGTCACATTTCAAAAGAATTGAGGCTTCATGTGCTGCAGATACCATTTCTTTAAAATTTATAAATTTATTAGTAGTCATTACATGCTGCTCAGGGCTGCCTTCCTCTTAACCAAACCCTGGAGTCAGGGCCGTGACCGGTGCTAGTGGCAGTGTAACAAGATAATACCCGCATTTGGCCGAATGTGGAGGTGGGACACCTGGGAGGCTGGGCCCCAGCTGCCAGGACAGAGGGTAGGGGACACCCCGCAGGCGGAGAGGGAAGGCTGACAGGTGCAGGACCGGCCCACCAAGTAGTGGACCAGAGTCCTCGGGCTCGCGCCCAACAACGGACGCCAGAGTCTCTCCTGATACTGTCACTTGTATTTTAGGTGACAACAGGAAGGGCATGACGTGTCCCCTGACCCCATCAGAACCTCTGGCCTGCACCAGTGCCCCACCCGTGGGAACCCCACTTCCAGTTTAAGTACCCAGGGTGGCTTTGGGGACCTGGACAATGACAAGGGTGCTCAGCCACTAGAGGCGTCCCTGGCCCAGCCCAGCAGTTTAGGAGACCCGGGGACTCACCTGGGAGGACGACACGGTGATGTGGTAGAACTTGCCCTGTCCCCCCTGCGGGATCGCTCTGACAAAGAAGAACTTGCGTCCGTCCCTGGAGAACAGCGGCTCTTCATTCTGTGGGCGACAGCAACCCAGTGAGTCCTGGCAAAGGCGTCACTGTTTTCAGGAGGCTGCACCAGGGTAAACCCATCTGGAGGAGCCCTTGCTATGTGATTTCTAATCAGACATGCAGCCGAAAGCATCAACGCTGTGTGGGGCCTTCTGAGAGGAGAGGAGTAATGAGGGATTCAGAGGGGACATGCTAAGTGCCACTAAAGGGTGGCCCCGTGTGTCACCAAGCTCCGCAGGCGGGATGGGAGCCTGGAGCTCTGGCAGCCCGCAACAGCGCATCCCCCTTGAACAGAGGCCTGTGGCACCCAGGGCGTTTTGCAGAATCCCTCCGGGGGCATTAATGATCTGTCCTAAAGAGTGGAATTCTCAACAACCCCACATCCGATTCGGCCTGAAAATAAATTCGATTCTCTCCTCGCTGCCTTTGCTTTTTTGTTTTGCCAAATCCAGTTTACAAAAATAGGTGACCAAGGAGACAAGAATGAGAAACAGCAAACAAGGGCACACTGTATCCATCCTAGAAACATTGCATCCATCCTAGGAACACTGTGTCCATCCTAGAAACATTGTATCCATTCTAGGAACATAGTACCCATCCTAGAAACACTGTACCCATCCTAGAAACATTGTATCCATCCTAGGAACACTGTATCCATCCTAGAAACATTGTATCCATTCTAGGAACATTGTATCCATTCTAGGGAGTTGTGGGAGGGAACCTCCTCCCAGGTGCTCACTGTGCTACAGCATTGCCTCTAACTAGAGAAAAGTTGATGAGAAACAAAACCAATATCCCCAGTCGTCCCACTCAAAGCCAGTTGCCACTGTCTCCACCTGGTTCCTCTAAAGCTGAGCAGTCACTGTGCGGCCCCCCCAACCCCCTGTGGATGGCTGTCACCTTGATGGGCAAAAAGGGATTTGTCTGTGACATCATCTCGGCTTCTGGGAAGCTCCGGTTTGGAAGTTTCCACCATGAGCACCAATTAGCCGAATAGGGTGCACGCTTTCTGACTTAAGGAGCGCCGCCCTCACGTGGGGACCGAGCCCCAGCTGGCACGCGGAGACTCGCCTCCCCGCCGTGAACGCGTGCAAATGCGGCGTGCCGGAGAAATAAGCTAACATGTGATTAAAATGACATTTAATCTCCAGGAACATTTGCAATGAAATGAAACCTTTAATCTGCAAATATTTATTTTTCCATTTACAGTTGGAGGCATGGCATTTAAAAGTGGAGGAAATGAGAAAACCGGCAGGTAATCATTTTTGTTGTTTTTTTACACGAACTTCTATTTGCCAATGTGGGACAGACACCCCAAATGTGCCTCAGTTTCTCTGGGAAAGGGCTGACATGTTCAGCAGAGAAAAATATTGGGGATAAATGGAATAAAGAATTAATTCTGGCCAGAAGCGTTGTTTTTGTCCTGAGAAGGTGTGAATCACGGGGATGTCCTCTTTACACTAATCCACGGGACACTCGGTGGTGGGCGGGGAAGGACCAACCTGGGAGCCTAAGACCTGATTTCTCGGGCAGTACGTGGGTTTTTAGTGAGAAAGTCCAGTGGCTAGGAGACCTGGGTTTTAACCCTGGTTCTGACTCTCATGGGTTTGGGGGAAGTGTTTCTAGTCTCCCTGGGTCACAGGGAGTTTATCACACTCGATGCCTGGTCTCTTCACCCCTGTTCACAGCAGGTCTGTGCAGAATGAGTCCCTTTTCTCGCTGAGATTCTTTGTGAGCTATCGGTAGCTTTCCCGCCAGTTCTCTCTGTGGTTCAGATACACTCGCCTTGGCCAAATTTTGAAATCACAAAACCAAGATCCTGGTTAAAGGGAGGGTCAGAACTTGACCCCTAGGACCGACTCTTCAATCAAAGCTGCTGGTGAGTTTGCATCAGGACCGAAGGTCACAGGCAGCGGTGATGGGGTGTGTGTGTCCCGGTGGGGGGACTGCCTCTTTCTCTAGAGTGTTCCCAGAGGAGAGGGAGCTTGGGGGAGTCTCCACCATGGGACACACGCACACATATGCCTCTTCTCGGCTCATGGAAACCTCTGTGGGCGTCCCACTGCCTCAGGATGGAGATGGGAGGAAAGGAGAGGGAGATGGGGGTTCAGATGGCTGCCCAGGGTGGCTCTCGCTCACCCCGCTGCCCGGGCAACAGGTACTCTCAGCAGACAGTTGATCTGAGCAGACGGGGTCTCAGGGAGGTTGGTAAGATGTCCCAGACCCCAGTCTTCTCCTCAAACAACACTGTGCCCGGGACCCCTTTGTGACGGCTGGCGGTTAGCAGCCTCCCTGGCAGTAGGCAGCCGGTCCAGCTGCAAGTAAGCCCCTAACTCGCCTTCTAGGACCTCGGGGTATCTTGGAGGACGTGGAAAACGACAGGTGATTTTTGAAAAAGAGCATCTGTGGATTCGTTTATGAAAACTGTCTTCGGAAGGGATGTCCTGACAAATTGTCGAAACTGGATTTTCTCCCTGACCCCGGAGCTCCCGCGAAAGTCCCACCTCGCTCGGAGGAAACGGCTCCCTCACAGGACTTGTCTTACACTCAGGGCGGCGCCGCCCGGTTTCCCACAGGATCTAAAAATGTTCGGACTGGTCGCCACAATGAGACCCCCAAGAAACCAGGTGGAGGAAACAGAAATATTGCCAATGCTTTCATTTTCTCCTGCCAGAGTCGGTCATATCCAGGCAGCTGTTCTGGACGCATCCTTTTTAATTCGCCCAAAGGGAGTCAGGTAACGGAGACCTTAGGTCTCACCAAACATTGTGCGTTGTCAAGAGCAGAGACTTTCAAGCCATCCCCGGGGCCCGCTCTCCGGGGGCACCTCGGGGGCCACGGAGGGGGCAGGGCGGCGGGCTGGGCAGCACCCCTCCCCGGGCCACACCCCCGACGTGTCGACCTGGGGTTCCCGTGGGATTCACGTGAGAGCTGTTCTCTGTAGCGCAGGCCCCCAAAGCCACCAAGCAGTGGATCTGGGGGCTGGGGCAGTGGAGAAGGTGGGAACTCGCCATGGAGTAGTTAGTTACTTGTCTGTGGACTAGGTACCTGTCTGTCTGTGGAGTAGTTACCTGCCTGTGGATACTTAGTTACCTGCCTGTGGAGTAGTTACCTGCCTGTGGAGTAGTTACCTGTCTGTGGAGTAGTTACCTGTCTTTGGAGTAGTTAGTTACCTGCCTGTGGAGTAGTTAGTTACCCGTCTGTGGAGTAGTTAGTTACCTGCCTCTGGAGTAGTTAGTTACCTGCCTCTGGAGTAGTTACCTGTCTGTGGAGTAGTTACCTGTCTTTGGAGTAGTTACCTATCTGTGGAGTACTTAGTTACCTGCCTGTGGAGTACTTAGTTACCTGCCTCTGGAGTAGTTACCTGTCTGTGGAATAGTTACCTGTCTGTGGAGTAGTTACCTGCCTCTGGAGTAGTTAGTTACCTGCCTGTGGAGTAGTTACCTGCCTGTGGAGTAGTTACCTG